CATATATTGTGTACGGAAACTGTCTTCATGTACTTAGATTGTGTGGAATGATGACAGGAGCTACAACATTTCTGTACATGTATATACTTGGAAACCTTCATTCATCTTATGTTCTAAAAAAAATAGAATTAGAACTATCGCTCCATAAGTATTTTTTGTTGGATTTCTGATACTGCCAGCCAAAATGGTTTGTAGCATGAAAAGAACTTTCAAACAAATTTTAATCTAGGGATAGACATGTTTCCTTAACAGAAAAGAAAAACTCTGAGAGTTTTAAACCAACTCTTGCGTAAGCAATAACAAATCATTTCATGGTTTATGAAGCATCCTGCCCTTAAATTTGTAATAGGACCAAAAACATAAAACAGATTCTATATTAGATATTATTTCAACCTCCTATGTGTTGGCAGTTTCTTAATAACCGTTCCATCAAGATAAATTCAAAATAATAACCTGAAATGCTTTTTTGTTTTTCTCATCATTTGCACCTTGACATACCAGCCTAAACAGTCTGTACAAAAAAGAAAACATATAGTTCTGGCTTGCATACTTTTCCATGTTTATGTATCAATCAGCTGAATAAGTTAATTTTGATTTGAGTTAAAATCTTAAAATTATTTCATGTATATTTCTGAAAACTTGAGTAAGAAATATTTGCTCTTAACAAAGAACACAAGAATAATATCATGGAATCTGACATATACATACTAAGATTTCATTGTGTGCACAACAATGGGTGTAACTATCATTCATCGTTTAGATTTGAGTGGATATTTATTATAAAACTAATATATTGTGATAAAAGCATATTTCATATACGTTAACAAAGGACTCTATTTTCCTTTGGTGTTGCAATTTCCTGGAGTTACAATAAACTAGACTATACACATGATATTCTCATACAGAAATAATGTCAAGTACTGGATTCACTTGCAAACATAGTGAACGAAACAAATAATATATAGCCCTATCAAAGTGAAAAGATGTTGCGCTTGTGACTATGAAGCACACGATGGACCTAACTCTCAATCGTAAAAGATTACTAATATTGCCAGGTGTGTGTACCAACATGCAGTTGGCACACTAATAGCTTTGTGGACATTTTAAGAAAGAAATACAATCACCTTTATCAAGGAAGTTCTCATGTGAGGGAAGGCATCTATTAAAGCACCATGTAACGATCATCAAAATGTCATTGAAAGTTTCAGAAAAATTACAAAAAAACTCTACTTTTTAGCCTTCCGATGATTACCCATTAGTAAAACGTCTAAATTAATTGTGAATGTGTTAACTTAACAAAGATTAAAGATGAAATACTTCAACCTGAGAAAATAAATTTGAAAAATTAGGTGATAATGTCTTTCTTAAAACATTCAACACAAAACCAATATTAAGTCGAATTTTCGTGACAAAATTTGTGATTTCAGCAGGTTAAACATGTGACTACCAATAAATAAATAGTTTCTAAACTAGGTTTAAATACTGAAATGTGTACATTAAATATTAACAAAGAATCAGCACCAACAAACAAGGGGAATACCCAAGCTATAAGCTATGAGCATGGACTACACTAAATCGTGGTTTGTACACACAGCAGTCACAGTAAAACACTGGAAATATAACTACTCCTTACAATATTATGACATATAGAATTGTGTTTATCTTAATCATGCTGACTATTACAAACAAAACATCATAACCATCCATGGGTTTGTCATCGATAATTTGCATGGAAACTATTGATACATGGTATATTGTCAATTCAACTTGCATACTCTACTACAGGGGGCAATGTGAAACCTCATTAACTTGGAAGTCCCGGGGACCAGCAAGAATATCTTCAGCTTCCAATAATTTAAGAATTAAATATGAATATGAATTTGCCTGGAACCATTAAAGTTATATCATTACACCATTGAAGACATACCATATCATTCGAGTTTGAGGTTTCTCACCGTAACTAGTTTTTAGAATCTTGTCCCCAACAATTTAGGATTTTCTTAATACATACCTATCAAGAACATATTGATAAATTTCCAAACATTTTCCATTGAATAGATTTTGTATCAAAATCAAGTTTACAGACATTTCAAAAAGTTAATGTCTTTATTTTTTCTTTACCCTGTCTGACTTAAATACTATATTTCATTGACAAATACAAATTATTTTCTGTCTTCAGCATACAGTGAAATGTGATTAAGACTAAGTTCTGTAGACCATCACAAAAGTACAGTGATAATTTGCAGAGTGTGTTTCCGTAATGTAATTATATCTTACGAATGGAATTGTATTGGTGAGTATAATACATATTTTATTTTCCTAATATTTATTTTTACGTTACAGACACACAAGAGGGTAATAATCTCTTTATCATAGAATGTCATTCTTAAAAAAAAAAGGAAATTTCAAACATAATTTTGCTTGGTGAAGTAAATTTTGGAAACCTTGTATGAATACAGTGTTTGTGTGGACTGCCCCATTTATCATATAGTGCCAAATGATTTGGAGCTATGTTTGCCTACATAAGCACCCACACATTGGAAAAAACCCTGTCTAAACTTATTGGGAACATTAGGCAATAGTAGACATTGAATAATGTATGGAGGTTAAAAGTAGTTACTGCATTTATAACAATATGATAAATAGAGCTATCCATCGTGCAAGACAAGATATGACAAGAATATACCATGTTGTTGATGAGGTTTCTGTTGGTACCACAGAGTTACATCACTTACACTACATATATGAAGGTTTTCAATCTTTCACTGTCCCACAGTAAACGTTACTCAATGGTTTCCTTTCTAGTGGTGCATCTTGAATACAATGTGAACTATTCAACACAACTAAAATAACTGCAGCCTTGTGTATCATCTAGCTTCACAAACATTATTTCAAAATGTTTACAAATATTGGTACACATATTTACATATACATACAACATTGTACAAGGAGGAAATAAGCAAAAGTAGCATACTAATAACTTTATGCATCAACATATTTTTTCCCGACTTGTGATTTTCTACAACAATCTGAAAAATAATTCAACAATACCTTGTGTAACAACTTCTGAAACCTTTCAAAATGTCCTTAAATTTCAACACTTTTGTAAATAGCTGTCATCAAAGCACAACTTCATTCCTGTCTGAAGTAAGGAATGTCAAGTTTGCATTATCTAACAAGAATAAAACAGACTATATACACTGCATGTATGCATAATTGTCGTAACATTCATCATATCTAACAAATCACAAGGCACCAAATGTTGTTCTATGTCCAGTCAGAATACATAATAATGTGACCCTTCATGCCTTCAGATGGACTCTCCCTGCTATTAGGATCTTGGAATGAGACAAACAATTGGGGATTTATCGTATTTGACATAATAAGCGCCCAGGGCGCTCTCAAAACTAGAAAAAGGGGGCTCTTATTAGAATATTATTTCGGTGGAAAAAACAGAGTTGAAAGATAAATTTCGTGGTTTATACTGACGGCCTGAACTGTTTATATACGACAGATATATTTTTCCAGAATTTAATTGCCCATAATAAAAGGGTGCAAATAACACACAAGTGCATATTATACAAAAATAAATAAGTCTTGTGTACATTGATAAATCGGAAGGGGTGCTAATTGGGATTGTTCACTTGCCAATATATTAGCAAATATCGCTGTGGGCTCTTAATAGAGCAGGGCACTTATTACGTCGAATACAGTAACAGATGTTATGAGAAGAAATACACTCCAGCATTCTTGTTGCTTTCAATATGAGACAACCATCACATCAGTCCATGTTTGTAGAAGAGGAGAGGTTTATAAGGCCTCCCAAACATTTTTTTATGTGGATCAAAAATAAGCAAATGCACACAATAATTGCAAATAAAGATGGCAGAGAACATTATTGCCTGTATCCATGCTCACACATGTAGTAACTTCTTAGGACACCAGGCAATCCAGAATTCAGAAAAGTGTGAGACTTCAGCATCATAACCTAGTCTCATATATATGTATCATATATCCATGTGTCTGCAAATTTGCACAAGTACTAGTTCACCAACCTCTGTCATGGTGTTGTCTTCTTTCTCACAGTTGAGTATTTCAAAGTCCTTTTGGTAACAAAAAGAAAGTTGAACAAGAAGAGTGTTGGCCAATTCTTATCTGTATGATAGTCTTGTTTACTCTAATACATAGTATTCCTAGAAACTGTTTTAAATACAAGATGAGGTCATATGTGTTACTTGAGTGTGAATTGATATATTTCTGAATGCTGTATTTATTCTTTCTTGTTCAATTTGGATTTGAAACTTTGTGCTCCAATTCTACAAATAACACTGAATTATATTGTGCAAAGTGACAAGGTGACAAAAAAATTGTGGACCTTTTGCTTATTTTCAATCCAAATGCAAAAATGTCTTACAAATTGATAGGACTGTTTATGCAAGGTATATTACATTTTATATGAAAATATATTTCACTTCTTCAGAAACAAGATGTTATGTGAGTGAAATGTACCCAAACCTCTAAAAATATGTTTGAAATTGAAGTAAATACAGACAACAAACTATGAGGAGTGGAAAATTGTCATTGCGAAGACTAGATGCAACCTACTCAGCATATATGTATTTATCTACTCACAGTTCACATACCAAAAGTCCTTGGCACTAAAACACATAGAATTATTACAGCGTTAGAAATTGGCACTAGTCCTGTAGTCCTTACCAAACTGCCCAATAGTTAAGGTATCATAAGGACTAATAGAAATTTGCCATTTTTAAAGGATTTGCTACATGTTATCATTATAAGGACTAGTGGACTAAACATGTTAGGGGGCGGTCGGGTAGCCTAGTGGTTAAAGCGTTCGCTCGTCACGCTGAAGACCCGGGTTCGATTCCCGACATGGGTACAATGTGTGAAGCCCATTTCTGGTGTCCCCCGCCGTGATATTGCTGGAATATTGCTAAAAACGGCGTAAAACCATACTCACTCACTCACTCACTAAACATGTTAGTTTCTACCCCTGAAATAACTGTTATTCAGACTACATCAATCTTTGCAAAAATGTCTCCAATTCAATCCAAAGAGTTTATTCAAGGACTTTAGGTAGCACTGTAGCTTGTAAACATGCTTAAATGTAGCTTCAACAGTAACATTTCTGTAAATAAGCCTAACTATCCAGTGAGTTCTATATCCTAATATCATTTTTTCTACTTAAGAATAAATATTTTATATAATAAGGTATACAAAATAAGGTTTGTCTTCTATATTATTCTTGAGTACCAAGTCTTGTTCTTTCTAATGCAATCATCAACAGATCCGCTGGGAAAGTAATGTCTCGAAATCATATTATCCATCTGTACCAAAACAACTGGTTTACTTTAAATTCTTCTCCAAAGTTTCAAATAGAAAGAAGGAAATATTCATAATTTTATATTTTGTGAACATTTTGCTTTCAAAACAGAAAATGCTTTTGAATCACAATTTGTTTATGATTTAAAAACTGTCAATTTTCATTTTCACCTTAAAATTGTAAGACTCTACCTCTGACTTTTTTTAGTCTTTTGCTCTCAATAAGATGTCTGACATATCTTCCGCAGTAAGATGACAAGACTGTACACTTTATACATATGAGACAATTCAATAAAATCATCTCTTGAAAACATCCTCAAAGTTTTTAATGAGTATGAGTGCGAAGCTGTTGACAGCACCCATGGTTGTTAGTGAAGCTTGGCCCTTAGACCACAGCAAGTTGGGACCAAACACAATGGCAAGATTCATAGGTGTCATCTTGTTCACGTCAGAGTGGGACACCACCTGTGAAAGTAGAAAGATGAATGATTGTAAAATGAATTGTGTCTGAGTGCTGCAATCTGATTGGTTGAAAAACATTGTTAAAAGGAATTGGATCTTTCGGCCATTTCACTGCATATGAATACTTATTGTTTTTTTTCTCTTTTTCTCAATCCTAAATTTGAAAAAAAACATGCCATCTGGCTTGGCGAAATCTAAATATTAGGTTTGAACAATATTTATCAGAACAACTTCAATAAGGATTTTTTTGTCCACATTCTGCTAACCAGCCGAGTTAGTTATCATGAAAGCATGTGACATAATCCATTCTATGAGGACAGTATCTCTTTCCATGTTGATTTCATAGCATTTTAGAGTGACGTCATGTTTATCTCACAACATTGAAAATTCATGTTGAGTGAGAGTGTTTCAGAATAACCCGGTATGACTGACAACTTTTGTACTTTGCAATGTCATTAAACATTATGTCTTTATAGATTTGTGGGTATTATCAAGTATTTAAACCCCAGACATTTTTATATTTGAAACCTCCATCTATTGCCGTTTATTTCAAATGAAACTTCTGTGCATCAATGAAACCAACAGTGACAGTGACAAATCTTGAAGTTGAATGGTAAAATAATCAAGAACCATTGTGGATAGGCTGCCAATTTGGGCAGGATTGATGATTTTATCATGTATTTTTTTAGATAAAATACCAAGCAGAGGTTATGATGTTTACTGAACAGAACAATGAGGTAATGGTGTAGAATTGTTAGCCCAGTACCGAGGTACCAGTTACACTTCAGATGGTTTTATAGATGTGACAGTCTTCTACACTGAGTGCATGCAGGTCTTTACATAGGTGACCATATCATACTGATTATCTCCAAGGGGTTCTTGGGCCCTTTGCCTTTTCATTATCACACAAAAATGTTTCACATTTGTGATCAGATACGTTTTTAGATAGGAATATGTTGGAAAATGGAATACTACATATTTACCATTTGCCTCTGTAGTTTTCATGACAGGTGAGTAAACTGGAACCCTTCAAATGTTGGTAATTGTTATAACCTTAGTATAACTTCTCACAGGTATATGAGCTTTTTCTCAATTTTCCTAAGGAATTTCCATCAAGAAGCATTTGCATCATAAAAATGAATGTGACAGAGAATTTAATTTCATCGGTACCGATCACTCTCTCACACATATGCTTTAGACTCTCTCTTCAAATGTGAGTGTTACCTCAGTCAGGAAATGTACGATGTGTTTAAGGATAATGTAGTTGTCCTCCGGGAGCTCCTCCCTCAGCATACGCTCAGTCTCGAACACATGCTTATTGCTGTCAATCACTGAAATAGGACATTTAATGTTAGTCAGGACCATAACAGGGATAACAAGTAGCACAAGCCCACTAGCCTGGACCAATATTGCTTTTGTTAAAGTGTCGTAAGGGATAGAAGAACTTTGAACATAATGAGGGGTGTTCCTAAATCACTATTCAGGCTAATAGACTTTCTAGGTTAATTTCTATTCCTACCATTAATTATACTGTAAAAAACTATTCCATTTGGGCAAAAACATGCATAGCAGTGTTTCTGCACTTTTGGGCGAGTGAGTGGGCAAGTAGGTTTCTTGCACCGCTTTCAGCAATATTCCAGCCATAATACGGTAGGGAGAGATCAGACATGAGCTTCACACACCCATTTGGGTGACCCTGCTCTTCAGCAGGCCAAGCCAGCACTTTAACTTACAGCAATAGGCAGAAGTATTCAAGCTGAATATAACTGGGTCTGGACAACGCAAACCAGTGACTAAAAGGATGAGGAATGATCAATGCCATCTAGTTACAGTGAACCACATTCAGGCAAGCTTGTGACTTCCCAACCCCATTGTAGGTCATTGACAAGCATGATTTGCTGGAGATCCACAACACCCATAGACTAAGAGGACATGTAATGAGACATGATGTTATTTCCTTTATCTAAACCCTCTACCACAAAGGGACAACAACATTCAACTATCCAATAGCTCACCATTCAGCCTTGTGACCGGTTCAAAGAGGTCGAATGTAAGGATAGGTTCCTGAAGTTCTCTAAGGAATGTCTTGAGTATCACAGCAGCGGTGTGAACGTCATATGCATCACAATTATAGTCAACTGGTTCCCCTGTAAACAATGGAATACATGGTGTGAGGTGAGGTTAGATGAAAATGGCCTTAACATTGCATACAGTGTACTTGAGGTGAGGTGAGGTTAAGTGAGACTATGTACTTGAGGTGAGGTGAGACAAAATAGGGTTTAACATTGACATTAAATAGGGTTTAACATTGTACAGTGTACTCAGGGACAAATGCTAAAATACATGCAGCATCTTTGTTACATTTTTTAAAATTTGACATTTAGTAAATTTTGGGAGCTGCAATTTCAAACTTAACACACTGTAATGTGGAGTTTGCAAAATAGTTACAAATGAAAGGATACAGACCATGAACTTTAGCTAATCATATAAGAACTTAAGCAACAATTTTATGACCTTTGAAGAATATATTTGTAAATGAGAAACAATGAACCATGTGCTTAATAGCAAAACAGTACACACACAAAAAATAGTCAGTTAATGTAACTGTACTATTGTACCATTTTCAACCCCAAAAGCACATCTGGCAAGGCTAGGGTTGGTTGGTTGGTTGTTTAATGCTGCACGCAACAGTATTCCAGCTATATGACGTCTGTCTTGACAATCCAGTGATTGACATCATGAGCATCAATCCATGTAATTGGGAGCGATGACATGCATCAACCAAGTCAGCGAGCCTGACCACCCAATCCCCTTAGTCGCCTCTTACGACAAGCATAGTCGCTTTGTATGACAAGTGTGGGTTGCTGAAGACCTATTCTCTACCTGGATCTTCACGGTTAGGCAAAGCTAGGGGAGATCATTTTGCTTATAACGAAAAATTAATTCACTATGCTTTCTGCACCACTTTCCTTGTTAAATAATGTATCACAATAGAATTAAACATGAACATAAGAAAGATTATATTAAATTATACACAAAACTGTACAAAGACAAAGGAAAATCTTAGATGAGAAACTTCAACACATTTGATCTTCAAAAGTTATCTCCCTTTGAGCAAGTCAATCAGGCAGTGAATTGGTTTTGACGGGTTAGGCTGCAGTATTTCTGCAGTACCTTTGGAGCCTGCAGTCTGTATTCAGGACTTTGATAAACAAACCAATTGTCAATATTGTGACCATCAATCCACACAACTGGCAAGCAATGTCACATGTGTACAAAAGAAACTTGTATTCAAGATGATCGTCCACATGGTTCAGGGTTTGGAAGTCCTTCAACAGTTCTGTCAGGTTGAAAGGTCACATGCTGTTTGTTTGTTGATTGACAAAGTGTACTTATTATCACAGAAGTAATTCTACAATTTCATCAAGAATCAGTATTTAGATTATATAGTATATTCATAAATGTGGTTCTATTTGAGGTGGGTGACTTTTGGAAAATGAGACTCATAACATACCGTTATTGTACTTCTTCTGGACTTCCCTTAAAGTGACAGCATTTGCTGATCTTCTGAAAATACCCTCCACTTCTAAACCTAGAATGACAGTTGTAAATCAGAATGTAGTCAAGGAAGAAGACATAGAAAATCTTCAGTAGTAATTAAGAAATAATAATAATAATAAGTTTAATATTAGAAAAACAACAATTGATACAACTAAACAATAAAAATATTCTCTTCCTTCCTCATAATGCCATATTCTATAGTCTATTGAAAGAGAGGTGAAGGGTTAATTGTAAATACAGAATGAAGCATGCTTTCGTCAACAAGACCAGTAATTTTACTGAAACATCATTTGATAAGCTGAGTGAATGAGGTCGAATATAATCTTGAATTAGCAATAGCAAGCTGTTGCTAAGGATGCAAATAGGAAATTGCTTTTGAAATAAAAATAAGACATTACCATGAACATTGAGGTATTCTATTGTTTGTTCAACAACAACTGGAATTATTCTCCCACTATGTTCTTTGATGCTGAAACAGAAATAGGTTCTACAGTTTCATACAGAACAATCAGCACAACAGACACTGGATTCAGGGTTGGATATGGAACACATTCATCATGTTTCAAGCAGCCAACACGTCAATTATTTCCATTCCAGTTTTCTAAAACATTTTTGTTTTGACTTACAAAGCATTAAATAACCTGAAGGTGCCCATGTTACTGTTACTGATAATACAAATATATTGCATTTCCTCTTAAAAACACTAAACAATAGTTTTTTTAGTTTAGTTCTACACACTGTTATTAGCAGTGCCTTCTGTGACATTGAGAAATGGATGTAACTAGGGTCACCATTTATTGTGTGTGTGCCTTAGACGATAAACGTGGATTTGCAGACAGGTACAGTGGTGTCTGAATGAGCTGATTCAGGCTTGCTAAGGTTGAAAGAAGTAAAAGAATTGGCTCTCAGGCAATGTCTTTTGAAAATATAGTGTGGCGGTTTAGTTGGTCAAACGAGTATGCAATCAAATAAACAGTTGTGTACAATCAACCTGGGAAAAGGCCTTTTACATAAATGTAGTCCTTTATGAGCAAAATACTGGGCAACCAGTGTGTGCATAATACACACATACATTGTGTCTTGTTTTTTTATTTCACAACACGAAGATGTTATCGTAAGCACACAACACTGGGAGAAGCATGTCAACAAATCTGTACTGAAGTGCGCAAGTTAGTCCTGTTATTACACTATCTGGCCATAAAAGTGTTCATTATGTATCTGGACTTCCGTTTGTAATTCATTATATTACTTTTATACAAAATTTCATTCAATTTTGTTGACATTAATTTCGGTGAAATCGTGTATGAACCTATCAGCAAATCACCTCACCTCACCATGAACTCGCCTTAAAAAGGAACATTAGTTGTTAAGGATACAAAGTCTTCGGTCTTCCTATCACTGAATTGAAATTTCTTTTCAGTTATGATTTTGGCCATGACATTAAGTAATTTTTAAACTAAATCACCCATAGATAGGGAAGAATATGTGTGAACTATTTTCGGCTTATTTTAAAAGACAAAATATACATGTAATCTTAATATATGAAACATTGTCCGGCATACAGACTACAAATACCACAGAATTTGTAAATCATGTGTAGTGATTTTTTATTGTAAACTTCATGCTGTCATTGACCAAATTTGCAAACAGCAAAACAAGTACACAAATGCCTATTACCGCCATGACCATAATAGGAGATGTGCAGTAAAGCAGTGCACATGTAAAGGGAAGTAACAGCATGTTATATTGGATTGAATTGTTCTTAAGTATTGTAGCATTTCACTGCTGGGGCCAAGTGTTTGAGATGGGGAATATTTAAGGATTTTTTGTTTGTTTTGAAATGGAAAAAATCTAAATGTGCAACAGAATTTATGATATTGTGGACGGTGCCTGAGAACCAAGACTATTTTTTTTAACCTAAGACTGTCAGCTTGCCAGAGTGTACTCACAACTGTAATGTGACCCCGAACTGCTGTGTCTTGAGAGGCCCACCATCGGTCTGTGAGGTGCCCTGGTTGTATGGATACTGAGGCTTCCTGGCTGCAACCTTCTTTGCATCATATCTGGAACAGGTGAGTGTTGAGCTGTCTTAGAAAGCCATAAGAAGTCACACAGTCTATACAAGTGGGTGAGTGAACTGGAGTACAAGTAACTTTGAACAGTATAGCAGTCATACCTTGGTATGGCATCTTAACAAGACAAAGGCGATAAAGGTCACAGATGTTAATATTACACAGGCAATGATATGGTGCTGACAGACCAGACATCCAAATCAGGGCAACTCTGCAATCTGAACTCAAGACCTGTGCATCCTGGCATGGATATGACATACAAATCTACACAGCCAATTGCAGTCTTAGCCCACAAGATGACCCGTGTTTCAACTCATCTATGATAATTATGTTCACTGCAGCAGATGATGATTTACACACACACCTTGTCAAAATATTGCACCATAAACGGGCAAGTATGAATCCAAGTCAAGTAAATTATGGTTTGTCTTATTTTCGTCTGGAGCTGGTGATACAGATTCTGTTACTCCAGTTATTCCAGTGATACTTAGTAGATCTAAGTGATAACATATGGACTTTTTTAAACCTGACTTTAACTAGACCAAACAATATATGACAAGACCTTGACTTGGAATTGTCACTGAAGTCAAAGACTGCTAACTGAACAGAATCATTGAATTCAAATACAGATGAAACAGCCAATCTTGAGGACAACTGGGTGAAAACCCTTACGGGTGAGTTAGGGAATGTTGTTTTTCACCACAGACAGCACTATGGCACCTTAATCACAGAGGCCGGCAAATAATCAGGTCTTGTTCAGGCAAAGAAGTGATTGACAACATGATCAAGAGTCACTGCAACCAGGGTACCCTGACATGCAATCAGCCAGGTCTCACACTGTAACCAACTGAATCTTGTTTGTCAGCTCTCATCAAAAGCATGGTAGACATCCTGGGGACCTATTTGCCCTTCAAATTCCACTTTGGGGTTTATCTTAATGCTGTTTCCCTGTTGCATGTTACAATGATAGACTCACTCTAGAACCGGAGGCGGGACAGACAGCTGGTCAAAGTGGAGGTGGTTCTTCAGCTCCATCAGGTAGTCCACATACATCATCTTCCGGCCAAACTTAGCACTGCAGTAACACACACGTGACACGTTACATATGAGACAACAAAAATAAACTGGCATGAATCATTTTCTAATTGAGATAATATTTATTATGATTTCATAAGAACTTAGTCATATTTCTTAAAAAAATAAATTTACCTTATAAATGGCTTGAAGATGTTCCATAGAATCTTGATGAAGTTTGTAGGATGCACCAAGTATAAAGCTTTTAGATTTTTCTTGTATCTGAAAAACAAATTAAGTTCATGAATGTGTGAATGTTGTTTAATGCAACAGTCAGCTGCTTTATCACAGTAGCCTGCCTCCTCTATATCTCCAGGGCTCGCATATAGTCAACCTACACTAAACCCTGGATCCATTCCCACAAGGTTCTGGCCATCTCAAATTACCCACACTTGATTTTCATAACCATTTTTGATTTGCTATGCTACTCAGCCTAATCAGAATGTGAATTGCAAACCAGCCTCAATGGACTAGCGATATCAACAACATGGCAACACGAGTTACCTCCCTTACCTCGACGTTTGTTGGTTGGTAAAATGTTAATGAAAATCCAGGGCTGGTAATTTGAGATCGCAAGAACCATGGGAATGGATACAGGGATAAGTGTAGGTTTACCCAAATGCTAGCCCTGGAGATATAGAGAATGAGAACCGCAGCGTTAGACAATGGCACTAGTCCCATAGTCCTTGTCAAACTGCCAAATAGTTATGGTATTATAAGGACCAGTAGAAATTGTCATTATTAAGATTTTTGCTATATGTTATTATTTATAAGGACTACTGGACTAAAAATGTTAGCTACTACTGCTGAGTAGCCTGTGAATAATCGAAACTGGCCAGCACAGAAAACGATCTACTCCAGAACTGAAGACACACAGTCATATACTGTGATCACTTGATCCTGAATAGTTTGCCTTAGTGAGGTGCATGGGCTATTAACATGATCAAAAAAATATTCTGCCTCAGAATCACTGCCACAAACTAAATGTGCAGGACAGGTTTAAATGAAATGAATGGAACTATTAAGGTTCTAAAAATTGAAATTGCTCACTTTAAAGTAACTATTGATGACAGGCGTTGAAATTAAGCATGAGCCAGGGGGTCATAGATTTAGGTGTTGCTAGATTTAAATACTATAGAAGAAGACCTCACCGACCCCAGCAACCCCCTTAATTTTAATCACAGTGCAACATATTTTGTTTTGTTTGGACACTTTTTTTTATCCTGCGGAAATAACAACAGCCTCACACACATTCTGTGAGCGACAAAAACTATATTTATTTTGAAAAAATCACTGACCCCAAGTGAAACCTATAATTTCATTGTAATGTCTCCTTGATGTGCTAGAAACAATAAATAAATCCTGAAAGAGGAAATATTTCAGTTCACTAGGCACCAGGAAAAAATAACATTTTCTTTTCAACTTATGCTTTGATCATGTGCCTTATGTCATTATTATTTCCCAGGAAATTATTGTCTTTGTTGCAATGTTTCAATGAGCGTGAGAAGGAAACAATTCTATTGCAATTGATAGTTCTCGGGGCATGTAATCTTGCTTCAAATGTAGAATGTAATCAATACTTCAAATGGAGATTTATTATAAGGCTATATATATACATTTTGGGGGGAAATGATATGCCGAAGTCACGATACCAAGACATTTCCTCTGTGATACAAAGCTAATACTTAATGTATCAAAGCAAATCATCAACTGATATTTTATTTTCACATAATCCTTTTTGAACATTATGCAAGACGTAAAAATATATAAGAATTGGTTCTCAGGCAATGATTTTTGAAAATATAGTGCAGGTGGGCAGTGTCTTTTTTTTGTTTTTTAGTGTCTTTTGTGTGCTAATCATGCTAATATCAAAATTTACAATTCAAAGTAGTAGAGAGAAGATATTTTTTTTAGAAAGCTGGCTCAAGACCCAATGCATCCTTCATTTAGATCGGGCAGTCTAAGGTCACTCAGGTTGCTTAGGTCTTAAATGCAGAGAGATATTGTATCAGAGTTAAAGATCTGATCTCAAATAGATTGTTGATGTATTTGAAGTACATCAACAGATTTGATGTATTTCTAACACTACAATTCATGAAATATGCTTGGCAAAGGTAAGGTCAATTTCTTCTACTTACTTTCTATCAAACTCCTTGTATGCTTGCATGAGCCAGGATAGTTTGGGCTTGTTTCTGCTGGAGAGGCCATAGTGGAAGTAGACTATCACATAGTCTTCCTCCACGTACTGGTCCAGAGTGTGGCGTATGTACCTGGAACAGGGCAGTCATCAATTACTTTTTTGTTGCTTAACACGGCAGTCATCCACATTCCATCTTGATCATACAATAATATCATATACAACAACCCAATGCTGGGCCTGAGGCACATTTATAAACCAGAGGAGCTTCATCATCATAGACTGGAACTTGAGTAGATAAACTACAGGTACTTCAAAATCAAGTCTGAACCCGGGGGCACATAAACAAGAGCTACAATACACCAAAGTCTGGACTTGGGGCACATAAACAAGAGCTACAATACACCAAAGTCTGGACTTGGGGCACATAAACAAGAGCTACAATACACCAAAGTCTGGACTTGGGGCACATAAACAAGAGCTACAATACACCAAAGTCTGGACTTGGGGCACATAAACAAGAGCTACAATACACCAAAGTCTGGACTTGGGGCACATAAACAAGAGCTACAATACACCAAAGTCTGTACTTGGGGCACATAAACAAGAGCTACAATACACCAAAGTCTGTACTTGGGGCACATAAACAAGAGCTACAATACACCAAAGTCTGGACTTGGGGCACATAAACAAGAGCTACAATACACCAAAGTCTGTACTTGGGGCACATAAACAAGAGCTACAATACACCAAAGTCTGGACTTGGGGCACATAAACAAGAGCTACAATACACCAAAGTCTGGACTTGGGGCACATAATTATATAAACGAGAGATACATAACATCAAAGTTTGGACCTGGCGCACATAAAGTAGAGATAATCACATCCTGTCTTAAAACCACTTACTGCAAGAGTCTCTGGTGATCAAAGGTCTTGTTGGAAGGCAGCTTACACGATGAAAACACAATAACCTTTCTTCCCCACAAATCGTCACCTGAAAATGAATATTTTAGAATTATTACATGTATTTCAATTTTTTTTACTAACCATGTAAGCAAAAGACACAGAATTAACTCCACAGGACGTACTCATTTCGGGAATCAATTTTTATCTTCAGCGTGATAAGCAACTTCTTTAACAACTTCACTACTCTACTACGCCGCTCCCAAGAAGTACCATTATGTAAAATTGTTGTTTCAGAAAACACCAGTAATCATGATCACTCTTTTCTGACACTGCAAGGTATTGCAGAATTGTGTACTATGAGAAGACAACTACCAACCTGCAACTTCAATGATCCCATACTTCTCCACATCACTGAACTCACTCTGTGCCTCCTCCTCCTGAAACAACAAGGGACAATTCACACCGACTGTCCTTCAACATTGGCCATCTAGTTTCAGTCTTGGGGGGTATATGTAATTATGTTTGGCGTCCAACAGTGACTACTGTACAAACAAGAAAGAAGCAAAATATTTGTGAAGCCTTATGACTGGGATATCACAGATGGGGATTTCCTCAAACAAAACATAATTATTGAGTTAAGAAAATCTAAACATCAACAGACTGAACATTGACTGCTTCACTTTCATTAAAACCCAGACAAGGGATGCATCTTTCTGAACTCTTCTTAACATTAAAACTAAAATCTAGCATTTAACCACTGAAACAAATGTTATCCATTTTTTTGTTCAGAATAATAAGGCATGCATGTCAGTAAGGGTTTGTGTCAACACTTTCAGAAAAGAACAAGAACTTGCACAAAAAAAAACATTATTTAAAGAATCTCTGCATTTACATATGTTAATATTTTTTAATATGTGTGGGTGTCTGTCTATTTGCCATTTAACACTGCACACAGCAATATTCCATCTATATCATGACAGTGGTCTGTAGATAATCAAATCTGGACATGACAACGCAATTTTCTAAAGGTACAGATAATAAAAACATATTTTCATGTTTATAACAAAAGAAAAGCAATTTGTGTTAAGGTGGCACAGCCTGCCTGACGCTTGTGAGGTGAGTTGATACAACCGATACAGACTGCCCAGTTGTACTGACCTGGGGCGTGCCCAGCACCTTCTCGAAGTCCTCCTCGATGATGCCATCAGGTGTGATTGCCCCGCTCCTGAACGCTCCACCTTCTGCCTCCTTTGCCAACTCTGGAACACAAAAACAATCTCATGAGCTCACAGAAAGTCTGGTTTGATAAGATCCCACCTTACCTTCATTTGGCCACAGCAGCATGATCAAACAGAGAAATGATGTCTTCTACTTATGGTATAGGTCGTTCTCACTTAATGTTACGGTCTGATATTTGCTTTTGTACATAAGAAGTCTTAAGAGTATTCTTAGCTCAACCCTTTAAACAAAATCTAAAAATTGAAAACAAAAATTATTTCAAGTGTACAGGAAAAAGTAAAGTAATAAAATAAGGCAAATAACAATAAAGTCTTTAAGTGATCATAATATGAGGTGGAATATCACTGAACAGTGAATATGATTTCAAATACGGTAGATAGTGTCAAGCTCACACAATATGCTACAAGCAAGAATAATCAAGTGAAATGTTTGCTAGTTTTCCATCACCATAACCTGTCCGTTTGCCATGCGCTATTAATAGTATAAACTAACGCATCCTAAAACCTGTGTACTTCCTTGGCCACTCTGTTGCAAATCCGCTGTAGCATACCTGCTGAAACTAAAGCCACTTATTCCTAGTATTCTATTGAAATAGCTTGAACTTGTATTCAAACTTTCCTCCACATATGGCTAAAGCAAATATCCTCGTTTCACATGAACATGTAGTTCTAATAGTCTTTCATGTGTTGTACTGTAGTGTTGAAAGAAAACTAATGATGAGACTCTGGGTTCTCCATGACATTGACGTAGACTGACATGGCCTAATAGTCACAAAATTAACAGCTGCCAGTATTTGTAGACCAAATCTAGAAACATTTCATAGGGGAATAAACACATGACCAAACACTGAAGTTTTCTTTATCCAATCAAATGTACACGAGTTCATGGTGCTCATATCATATATAGTAGTCTCTGAAACAGCTCCGGGAAACTGCACACGTACAAAATTTACAAAACAAATCACCATTACCCAGTTGAAGTTCAGTTGCTTGCGCACAAATACACATAAAACAAGAGTCATCAAAAGACGACAAATCCCAGCGGCCCCTACAAAGCACCACTTCAGCCCCTGGCTAATACATGGACCAAGTTTGGATGACATATCTTTACCGGTTTTCAAGTTATGCTCTGGAAAACGAAATATGGATGGACAGATAGACAGACAGATGGACAGATAGATGATAATGTAATAACTCAATAGTACAACATTCTGCGTAATCAATGGTAAATACCAAATGAAAGACTTTTAACCTAAGTACCTGTATTTCTCTGCAGATCTTCATATACTGATCAAATGCATGCATCACAAATGCATGATCTCTACTAGGCAAATAATGCATAAAACAGGAGCTACATCACGTTTATTGCTAATGAATATTGCTGTTTGTGACATGTTACACACTTAGGGCTGCACATAAACAGATACAATTAGAGATCATCTGAAATATGATATTAATCAGAAATATATTTTAAATGTGTTCTCATTAGTTTAAAAAGGAATACCCTGTATTATGGACCCAAAGGAGTAAAACTATATTAAATACCCAAAGAAAATTATCAATACCCGATGTGAATGATAACTTGTGAGCAAATACTCAATGACTCAAAAATTATCTGAAACTCTACAACTAGTTACTGTCACTGTTTTGAGTCAATGTCATAAGCTTCCTTTTTCATATCAGTGATTATTAATGTCTGTCAATCTCAATGGGAAGCACGGGAGGCCCAGTCGTCTAAGGCACCGTGATTTGCTGTGCAGAGTTGCCTCCCTTGAGCATGCAAGAAACCTATGATTGTTGGTTCGAATTCTGGTTCACCCCAATTCTGTCTCTAGGTTTGTCAGCACCATACCCGTGCTCATGGGTTTCATCGAAGTAGTAAATGTCTGAGACCTGCATCTTCGGGCTTTTCCTCCCACATTAAGCTGACATGCTCTACTGGAATACTGTTTTATTCATTTATTATTATTTATTGTAAACCCAACTCACTCACTCAATCTTAATGGACATAGCAGCGTTAGACATTGGCACCGTCCCTGCCAAACTGCCCAACAGTTAAAGTATCACAAGGACTAGTAGAAACTGGCCATTATTAACGGTTTTGCTATATGTTCTCATCATAAGGACCTGGGGACTAAAACAGTTAGTTTTTATCGTTGCATAGATCAATAGACATCAGGCTTATTCCTAGGTCGGTAAGTAGGTTAAGGGGCGGTGGGGTAGCCTAGTGTTTGCTCGTGTACCCAGAAGGCCTGGGTTTGAATCCCCACATGGCTACAATGTGTGAAAAGCTGTTTCTGGTGTCCCCTGCTGTGTTGCTGGTACCTTTCTCAAAGCAGGCAGCAAGCCATACTGACTCCCTGATATAGGACTGTTTGCCTGTACACTCAGCAGTATTACAGCTATATGATGATCACATATAGGAGGTATTGCTACAGTATAAAGCCTCTAATATGCATGAGGACAGTCTGGGATTTCAGACAATTACATTATTAAACAGCTAGCTGACTCGTTATAGAAATGGTGATAACGGAACAACCCTAAATGAGATTGAAACAAACCCTGGCAATGCATAAAATTTTAATACTGATTAACTATATATATATACATTCTTTGTACACAAAAAATGTATATACTAGATCATAAGAAGTGTAAAAAGAAAACTGTGTAAAAAAAGGATTAAGTCATGGGGTCCTTATATGTTATAACCTAAATGTCTACAGATAAAAAAACCATCACCTTTATCATGTTCAGTGTACTTATGAAAGAATGTTTCAATATATGTACATCATGTAAAATACTGCATCAGTACTATTATAAAAAAAACCCATTAGTAACCAAACGACTATGAAACCAAGCATTTATATAATCAAATACAAATATGTTAACAAAGGCTACAACATGAAACAATATTTTCATCACCATGGACTTAAAACATGGCAGGCAACAAAACCAGCTCTTCACATCCTGGTCATAACTGCCGGGTACATGTACACTGGGTCTGATGTTCACCGTTTATCTTCCTCCTAGTGTGTCTTGCATTAGCAAATAACACCTGAAGGGAAATCAGGCCTACACAAATTACAGCTTTAGAAATTGGCAATAGTCCCATAGTTCTTGCCAAACTAGTTAAGGTATCATAAGGACTAGTAGAAATTTGCCTTTTTAAAAGGTTTTGCTATATGCTTTCATAACGAGGACTAGTGAACTAAAACCGTTAGTTTCTAACACTGAATTAGCACTCACTTTTATGATTAGTAATCATGTTTGGATCAAATACAATTCACTGTCATGAATCAGTGGTGTGACAATGATTTAACATAACTGATGATTGATAAGCTACCCTTTGCCAATGCAGTGATTGAATCTTAGTGTCCATACGAACATGGAGAAACATGCTAGTTGATATTGAATTTTTATTCATAATGGTCAACTATTTCCCTTTATCTGTAAAAACATAAGACATAAATGCTAATCAATAAGCTACCAATCATGAATTTACTTATTAAATACAATACTTTGTATTCCAAATCACTGAAAAAACACGTTCTCCGACATTCAATTCCTGGATAAAATTATAATGAATCGATTACATATGAATGATTTGGAAGAGTGACTGATCTATGACAAAATCCTAAATGTTTCTAACTCAGACTACTTATATAAATTACACAATATAATCAGGAATCCTCCATCCAAATTCAACCCTTTTAAAAGCACACCTGAAACTGACACACATACAGACAAGGTATATCATGGGGAATATTTTCTACAAACTTAGGTTTGGCAGACCTAAGACCCTCCCATCAGCAGATCCATGCAGGCTTTGGGCAGTGTAATGGGGGCAGGGTTCCTACCTTACATGGGGGACATTAAAATGTTAATATCAATAACTATGACTCCAAATTCTAAATTTTCCTTCTTTGAATTACAATGCAAGAAACAACAACATGAGATCAACAGGTGTTTCTACCCCTGACATGTTGTTCGTATGTTTCAGAGTTCTGAGTTTCCATAGTTATAATGAACCTTAATTAGCATTGTAACATTCTTTTTGCTTGAAAACCAAGCAGTGATCAATGTCCTGACCTACTAACCTTATGTCGCCATCAGTTAACATGTGTTTCCTCAAATTAAGGACATGCCGAAAGGTCAAATATTTTCCATGCTAAAACCAGCATGTCAGAGCAAATAGACAAACTGTCACAACCTGTCAAACAAAGTCAAAACCAGGCCACTCATCACTGTCATGTTCATCATGAAACTAAGTGCCAAACAATTTCTAATATTACTATAAGTTGTCCTATTTCTCTTTAACCTTAAGAAAATACAAAATCACAGAAATAACTACAACAAATCCAATTAGTCTGATAGATGAAAAGAGAATGATTGACAGAAAAAACATATGCTAACAAACTGAACTGGTGTTTTACAAACTAAAAATATGAATGTGTTGAACCTTGATTCCTTCTAGTTTTATTCCATAATAAGCATAAGGAGCTAGAGGTCCACTAATTTTTTATTTTTAAGATTCATTTATGACAAGGAGTGAATCTTTTTTACTCACATGCTTAATTTCTAACACTGATATTAATGCATAAATCTACTGTCTGATATTTATTCCAGGTATAGAGTCTAGGTCAAGACAGAAAGATGCATAATGAATGTTTACAAATGTCATTACCAGGATTAGTATCACTAATCTGTTCACTATCTTCTCTGATCTAGTTCACAAGAGCACAATGTCTATGAGTTCCAACTTGCCACAATATTGCATTATATCTGCAAGCATTAAATGTCGATATACACTTTGATATATGTTTACCATTGCAATCATGAAACATGGCCAGTGGACAATGAAGCATGGACCCTATCATGGATACAGATCATTATACTTGATGGATACAGCCACATCTGACTGTAGATCATGTGTAACAGTTGGTGGCAATACAGTAAACAAATGACTTTGTTGCAGTTGTGATGAAACTTTCCCTGGAGCTAAATGCCAGCAAACATTAGAA